GCTCTTCTATACATGTCCCAAAGTTCTAAGACATCATGATTCACAAAAGAGCAATTAGAAAATCCTCTTAGTTTTATTCATTTTTCTTCCTTCCATTTTTCTTCCTTTATTCACTTTTCCTCCTTCCTTCCTTTTGGACTTTAAAAATATGTAAAATCTACAGGATTTCATACCATATCAAGTGTACAAATTAGTGGTACTAAATTCTGAGTTTCTTCAGAGCAGAAGACTTCCATCTCCATATTTCCTCCTTGTGTTACATAGTATTGACTTTAAAAACAAATGGATGGATAGATGAATAGATGGGCAATATATATAAAGTTTCAGGACATAATTGGCCGGGATCAGACTCCAATTCTGCTATTTACCAGCCCTTTAACCTTAGAAAAGTTATGAATTTTTCTGAGCCTGTTTCCTTATTTATTAAATAAGCATAGTCTTTGTTTTATTTCATAGGATACTTGCAAGTAGTAAAATAGTTTAGTATAGCTGGGTGCGGTGGCTCATGCCTGTAATCCCAGCACTTTGGGAGGTTGAGGTGGAAGGATCACTTGAGGCCTGAAATTAATTACCAACCTGAGCAACATAGCAAGCCCCCGTCTCTCCAAAAATTGTAAAACTTAGTCAAGTGTGGTGGCACACGCCTGTAGATGGACGGACGGATGGGTGGGTGGGAGGGTGCATGGAGGTGGCCAGGGACCCCACAGTCTGTCACTCAAGGAACTAGGTCCAGTTCTTAAGGACACATATTGTACCTGGTCTTTCATGAATCTACATAACTTCCTAGTTACTCTTCTGCAGAGAGAGACATTCTGCCATACTGCTTCCCCTGGTGGCCTCTAAGGGTTCAGTTCTTTTTAACTTGCTCTTCACTCAAACCCAGCTTGTTAATTCCCTGTGTCTAAATTGTCCTGGACCCTGTGTCTGCTGTAAGGTGGGCTGTTCAGTGAGGCTCCTTCGCAGAGTCGCACGCTCAGGACTCCAGGATTCCTGCAGTGTAGTTGTTTCATGATTTATGGCTGGAGGTGTGCACTTCTCTGTGCGCTCGGTCGATGATGATGAAGTAGGTATCAGTGCCTCTGTGGATTTTCTGTTGCCCTTCAACAGCCACCTTCTAGAAGCATTTAATCAAGTGCAAAGTGCTAGGGGTGGGAAAAACCTTTTCAGGAGCCAATTGTGGACTTCCTCTACAACTTTTCTAAACTAGTAAAAATAGTATTGCACATTTTCCTGCATGATTTTTATGTTTGTCCTTTCCCTGTGTGAGTAGATAAAATTTTCCCAGGTAATATCATGACAACTGCTCTGATCCCTAGTTTTCTTTTTATATCTAACTCTGACCACGGAGACAAGCTAAGCCCCAAGAAAGGACTCACCTTTACTATTATATTAACAAGTAGCCACCCATGCCTCCTTAACTCTTCTTAATAAGTTTGCTAAATAGCATCAGTTGCTAATAACCAAAAAGTCAATGCGTATTTCCTTATTAAAATTGGGATGAGACAGATTCACGATGGAAGGGATATTGGATATTTGAGTATATTGCCTAAGTATGTTTACACATTTTATAGGTTATCATGATGAGGATATTAAAGCTTATAAAGCTCAAGTTTTTGACAGTGATTCTCAAAGTGCAGTCTCTCCATCAGAAGCAGCATTAGTATCGCCTGGGAACTTTTTAGACATGCACATTTTGGGGCCTCTACCCCAGGCTTACTGAATGAGGAACTCGGGGTGGGGGTGTGGACAGCAATCACAATCTGTGCCTTTTGATGCACAGGCGATTTTGATGCACACTGAAGTCTGAGAACCACTGGTTTTAGGATGTTTGCAAGAATGAGCCTTTTTACTTTCTGCCTTTTGACAGCAGTGATGTGGACAAACTAAATTGTTCTTTTTTCTGAACAGCATTTAATCACTCTGAACAATTATTCATCCCTTTTCTCAAGTATGTATTAATCATGTTAGAAGTATCATTCCCCTCATTCAAAAGGGCAAAATAAGTAACATCACTTCTGTACGGGTGCCCTGGAAGATTGAGCTCCAGTACACGAACTGAAATACACGTACAAACAATTCTTAGTACTGAACTGTTTAAAGAAGGCCCACCTCTGCACAGGAAATATCCGTAACAGTTACCCCTTAACACCACTTAGCAGGGAGGAGTAGGAGAAAATCTGGGAGTAGGGTAAAGATATTTTTAAAAAATACCCTTTTAGAGCAGAAGCTTATGTTTGATCATGAACAAAATGCTTTCTAAAGGTTTAAGAGAGGGTATCTATTGCCTTTCATGACTCTATAAGCCAGTGTTTTCAAATTTTATTGTTTTTATTGCCTGCAATTCCATCTCTCTGTGACAGTGTTGGGGTAATGTGTGGTAGATTGGTCCATCAGTCCATGAATAATTAGCCAGCATTTATTGAGTGCTTAATATGTGTCACTAACTGGGTTAGAAAAGGGGAGTACTGAAAATATCATCCCTGCTTTCTAATAAGTTTGCTATCTAGTTGGAGAGATGGGAGTAAAACCCCTGAAACACTTGGGCCCAATAAAATAACATGACCAAAAGTGAGAAGGTGTGATACAGACTGCAAGTGCGGGGCAGTGCACCTGGGATGTGGTCACTCACAGCGTTTAGTGTTTAAGAAAGGAGGCTTCATGGGGCAGATGGATCTTAAGGGATTCTTAAGATCAGTGGTGGACTGTTTGCTGAAATGGCCTCATTCTTCCCTTTAGCAATGCAACTTTTCTGTTTTTCTCATGAAGAGGTAGAGTCTACTCTTCCAGCCCTGAAATATGAGCTGACCTTGTAATGTTGGCAGTGAGGAGGTGCTAATTCTGAGTGAAGGCCTCGAGAGACCTTGCAGGCTTCTGGCCACTCTCGTGGAACAGTCCAGCTGCCATGAACAAGCCCAGGCTAAGTCTGCTGAAGGCTAAGAAACTGCATTCTTTATGTGCTGAGGTGTCCCAGCTGAGACCGTTGGAGATTAGTTAGCCCCCAGCTGAGCCAGGAGGGAGCTCAGCAGAAGAACTCCCCAGCTGAGCCCAGTCCAAATTGCCAACCCACAGAAATCTGGCCTAAATGAATGGATAGGCCAACAGTTTTGGAGTGGTTTGACATACAGTGATAGACAACTGATACAAGGTCTGAAAGGTGAAGAGGAAAGGAGAAAGTATCCTAGACGAGTGTTGCACCTCCAAAAATGTCAAGAGTCAGAAATACGGAAGGTTAGATTAAAGAAAAGTGGAGAGGCTAGTAGGAGTGGATTTCCGAACCACTTTCTCTCATTGAATAGTTAGGAGCACCAGGGTTCAAGAGCATATATACTGGGGGCCAGACCTGCACAACTATGCTACATCTTTCCTTGAAGCGCTCCATCAGGGTATACGAAATAGGAATTCCATGTTGAGACACACAGCATCAACACCCTATTCTCCCAAACTGGACTTTGAGAAAATGAAACATTTTTTTTCCTTGCCAATTAATTATGCTATACCACGAACAAAAAGATCTTTATGGCATATTATCATATGCTTTTTTTAATATTAAAAAATCTGAAGCGTATTACAGCACGTACTTTCAAGAAACTGCTGGAGGCAACTTGTAGAATCCTAAAGATATTATGAAGTCAGAGTGCTTTTAAAATCTTCTCACAATGTGGATCTACTGCCCATTGAAAAACAACTTTAACTGTTTTATGAGGTCATTGTATATATTTTTCACCAAAAAAAGAGCATAAGAGAAAATATTTACCTTGAAATGCTAAAACGTGTTCCCTTTCTGTTGTATGGTACTTGCTTGAATAGAACATCCCTGGGGAGGATGGATGGATTCCTGTTTTAGAAGTAGCTCCTTGAATTTGCCAGGATGGTGAGGGGTGGGGGACAGATGGGAGCAGAGTGGGGGGGGTGTGGTATTCAGGTGGCACAATATTTAACCCACAGCTCCTTGTGTCGGGAATCTTTTGTTCCTGTAGCTACAGAAACCTCTTTCATGTTATATTTTTGCAAAACCGATTAGTTGACAAAGTGCCATAAACTTTATAGAAAATGGCCTTCCTAAGCAGATATTTTTATTTTAACTACGCTATCAGCAGCTGCACACATGTGCTAAAATCATGGTGAAGCTGATATTTCAACAGAAGAAAGGCGGGGGTCATGAGACTGAAGTGTCACCCAAGAATGGAGCGAAAGAGGCGTCATACCGTAAGTGCACACTGTGTGTGTGTGCATTTGCAGGAGAGAGCGCGTTACCAAGTTGTTGTTTTAATCGCTGCTCCGTCTCCCGTGAACATGTTGCTCCTTTTTGAGTGTCAAGCAACCGGTTCACCTAAAACTTTTCCCAACCGAAGACCCGCACGTGCCGGGTCCCACCCTTCGCTCGCGCGGCCTGCCTCCCCCCTCCCGCCCCGCGTCTGGACACCCTGCGCCGGCTAACAGGTCCCCGCTCACTGAAGCGTCACCTCTCACTCCCCAGTAAATCTCCGCAGCCCACTCGGACTGCAGCCTGTTTGCCGCCCGGCCTCCCATTGCAGCACCGGGCGACAGCGAGGGAGGCTGCGCGGGCACGGGACGACCCGGAGGACCACTGGCGGGCCCGGCTCCGGCTCCGGCTCCGGCTCGGGCGGCGGCATGGGGAAGGGACGCGCGGGGCGAGCTCGCAGCCCAGGTAAACAGGCTGGCGAGGCGCAGGGCGCTGCCGCCGCCGCGGCCACCCAGCGATTTCCAGGCACGCAACTCCGCCTCCAGGGCTCTCTCCCTCGCGCTGTCGCCCCGCCGCGCGCTCGCAGCCCCAGCAGCCGCCGCAGCAGCGCTTCACACAAAGGACTGTTACCCGCGGAGCAGCTCCTGCACCTCCACGTCCTCCTCCGGTGACAGCAGCCCCGACAGCAGGGCTCGGCGCAGCGGCGGCGGCGGGGTGGGGGGGACCTGTCACTCCCTGCAGCCGAGGCGGGGGCAGCGCGGCTGTTTGCATTTTCTATTTTGCTTTTTTTTTTTTTTTTTTTTGTCCTTTTACCTCTTCGCCTTTTTGTGGTTCCACCCACCTCTCCCCACTCCTCCTCCCATAAACAACTCTCCTCCCCCTCCCCCAATAAATAAATAAAAAAGGAGGAGGGTAGGGGGAGGAGGAGCGGTGCTGGGGGCTGGGGGCAGGAAAAGGGAGGCAGCGCGACAGAGCCGGGCAGAGTCCGAACCGACAGGCAGGAGCCCGCACGCACCTCGCAACATGAGATGGCGACGCGCCCCGCGCCGCTCCGGGCGTGCCGGCCGCCGGCCGCGCCCGGCCCCGCCGCCGCCCGCGCCGCTGCCCCGCTGCTGCGCCGCTGCTGCTGCTGCTGGGACCGCGGCCTGGCGCCGGGCGGCGGCCGGCGACGGGGCGCCTCCGGGGCCTCGGTGTGCTACTCGTCCCCGCCCAGCGTGGGCTCGGTGCAGGAGCTGGCTCAGGCGCGCCGCGGTGGTGATCGAGGGGAAGGTGCACCCGCCGCGGCGGCAGCAGGGGCACTCGACAGGAAGGCGGCGCGCGGGCGAGGCAGGCTGGGGCGGCGAGCGCGAGCGCCAGCCGGCCCGGGGGGCGGCCGGCCGCCCGCCAGGGAGACGCGGCCGGCCCGCCGCCAACGGGACCGTGCCCGCCTGGCCCCCCGGCGCCGGCCACCCCGGCGACGAGGCGCCCTATCTGGTGCGCGTGCACCAGGTGTGGGCGGTGAAAGCCGGGGGCTTGAAGAAGGACTCGCTGCTCACCGTGCGCCTGGGCGCCTGGGGCCACCCCGCCTTCCCGTCGTGCGGGCGGCTCAAGGAGGACAGCAGGTACATCTTCTTCATGGAGCCCGACGCCAACAGCAGCGGCCGCGCGCCCGCCGCCTTCCGAGCCTCGTTCCCCCCGCTCGAGACGGGCCGCAACCTCAAGAAGGAGGTCAGCCGGGTGCTGTGCAAGCGGTGCGGTAAGTGGCTGCCCGGGCGAGCGCGCAGGCGGTGCGGGTCCCGCGACAGCTGCCGCTTGCGGTGGCGGCCCCGCGCCGTCCCCCCAGGGGGGCGGTGTGGCTGCGGGCGCCGGCGGCGCCGTCTCGGGTTTCCCGCGGCTTCGGCTTTGCCGTTGGTGACAGCCCAAGTTTGGTCCCCGGTTGGGGCCGCCTCAAACTTTTTAACGCGTTGGGGTTTGTTCGCCAAGTGGAGAACGGAAAGGTGGCAGCTGCTGGACGGCGCGGGGACTCTTGAACTTGGCCTCGGTTGGGAGCTGTGGGTCGTGGGCCTCCTTGGCGGGAGGAAGGGTGAGCCCCGCAGGGTCGTCACGCCCTCCCTTCGCTTGGTGTCCCGCGCGCCGGGATGGCCGGGGCTTGGCGTCCGGGGGGCCCGACAGTAAAGTCACAGCGCGGGGACATCCCGCGACCCACGTGCAGGAGTTTCTGGCGAACTCAGTGTCCAACAGTCAGTACAGGTGCAGTCTGTACCTGGTGCATCTGTGTCTGTGACAAGTGCAAAGTTGGGTTTTTTTGTGTGTGTGTGTGGTCTTTTTTTTTTTTTTTTGCGAAATCATCCCAAGAAATCTTGTTTTCACAATATTTTCGTTTGGAGCATGCTTTGGCACGCGAGTGAATCGGAACAGATGAGCGTCATTACGGAGTTCCACGTGTAGGCCCCGAAGAAGAATTTTGGAGGGCGAGTTGAGCAATCGATTTTCCACACCTTTTCCCGTTTACCACCGAAGGGTGTTCCGCCCAGGTGTGCCTCCTGGGAGCGGGTCTGCGAAATCAGCCGCTAATCGGACCGCGTTTCCGAGGTAGCATTCTGTCTCTGCCTTTCCTCACATAATTTCTGCGATCTAAATGTCTGTACAATTTCCTGATTACCATATAGTCACAAACACATAGCGGGGTTTCTTCTGCAACCGTAAATTAACGTGATTACACATCAGACATTCGCACACGCATAATAGCTTCTCCCCCTCCGTCTTTATGTGCCTGTCTAATAGGTCTAATAGACGGTCGGGTTAATTGAATTTTTACGAAACTCAGCGCCACGCCATGCTTCAGTCTGCCTGGGATGCAGAGTGTGTCAGTTGTTTTTAAATTCGTGTCTAGGGGTGGCCAATTATTTAAATTTCTGGATGGCGATTTGGGGTGCTTATGTCCTGCAGTTGATTAATAGCTCACGATTTGGTTTTAACGACGGGAAGGAGCGTGGTTTGCTCACTGTGCTTTTATTTTTAACGATGTACTTTGTGCGCCAGAGACCTGTTAGGATTGCACTACTGGGTGGACGGAAGCTGTTCAGAGAGGGGTGCTGGAAAAAGCTGAATGACGTTGGGATTCCCCGAGACTGGCTGATAGATGTCACTCTGAAACACGGGGAACTGCTCCTCAGCTGGGAGCTGTCTTGTTAGGAAACACACAAGTTCAACACCACTGTCCTGCAGCATGTGTTATTCTGTTACAGTATCTGAAAAAAAAAAAAAACCTTTTAAGCCCTACCATCGTCCGGTTTTCACATGTTTCATTGTGTGCAACTCAAGGAAGGATCTTGCCTTTACCCCAAAACTTTTGAACTATCTGCTCTGCAAGGTGGGATGTTAATACAATCTAAAGGTGGGGTGGTAATTAGTAATGACTGGGATTTGCGGGGGGTTACTAGATGAGCAATGATGATTAGTTAGGCTTTTTAACTAGAAATAAATATAAGATTTCAAGCGTAAAGTTCTTACGAACACAGATAGGATGTTCAGATATGGAAAACTGATGTTGTCTAGAGGAATCAGACTCTGTTTTTGTGCTTCTTAGGGGGAGAAAAGCTTCACTAAGGTAGTTACTTTAGCCCTTTTGTTTGCTAGTCAAAGGAAATGCATAGTTGTAAATTGTGGCATGTTAAAAAAAAAGTGGGTTTTTAATGAACTAGAAATCTCCCTGCATGTAATTGAGTAGATTAAGAAATTATGGAGTTGCTGTCCTGGGTTTGTTTGTGTGTATTTGGCAGTTTTAATGTTATGTAATTTATGGTAGGATATTGCACAAAGCCTCAACTAATAGGTTTAGTTAAGGACTGACAAATCATGCTAAAAGTTTCTCTTGCCTTTTTACCAAGCATAATAGTTCTTGTGATATTGGAGGATAAAAGTAAACAGTATAAGCTATTTTATATGATGTAAACTCATTAAAGCCATACTTGGAATATTGAGTTGAAAAGTGTGTGTGTGTGTGAGAGAGAGTGAGTGAAAACTTGTGAATTCATCCAGTTGCATGGGTTCAGATAACAATGCCATTCAGAATGTACCAAGCAAAGGAACAGAGACAACTGGAAAAACAGAATAGAATCTATTTGTCCTAGTTGGGCTGCTTCCATGTGCTTCTGGTCAAAGATTTGAGGGGGAATGATGGAACAGAGGCCTCTTCTAACATCACGAAGCTTCCCTGGGGGTGTGACGGTTGTGTGCAGGCTTGAGCCATAATGCTAGGCTGAAGAAGGAATATAGCAAAGTCATTTTGTGATATCATACCCAGGGGAACAGTTTGCAGTTCTCCTGCTCTCTGCTGCAGTATTGTTCCCGCAAGTTGCTTGGTAGTATAGAAACTACACATGCAACAGATTAGCCTTAGGGTTGAGCTAATAAAAATCTTCCCTGAAATTCTTCCCCCCCCTTTTTTTTTTCCTCCCATCTAATAGAAACTCTTGGATAGTGTCTGCATAAAAACAATCTCTTTGACAAATGGATCTTTTGAAACACAAACTATTAGTGTATTTTAGAAGATAACATGGAATTTCAGATTGTTTACCTTATAGTTGAAGTTCATTTAAATTGTATTTCCTTTACAGTTACTTAGATTTTTTACAGTCTTTGCTTATTTTCTTGCTCACTAAGAAATATTCCTGGGTTCATTGGAATGCAAAATATTAATAATTTGCTGTTCAGTTAAATTTCTATTATTCAAACAAGTCATTGTTTGACGTACTATGCTTTTAGTGTCCAAAGAGTTGTGGTTCTACTAGGCAGAAACTGATTTCCAAAAAAGAGTAAAAATACTGATGGTGAGTAACATTTATAGTTGGGCTTTGTCAGATTTGTACACCAATTGTGATCTTACAAGCCAATTGAAATATTTTGTATATCATGATATTTGAATGAAGACATATGCATGTGTTGATAATATATACATGTTTATCAAGTAATTATGATAAATGGCACTTGCACTTTCTAATATCTCCATCACTGTTTAATAAAGAGTGTACTTGACCTTATGGTGTTATGAAAATGAAAAAAAGCTGTAGGGATTTTCCAGTCTGCATTGAAGAAAATTATTAATAAAAGCTATGTTAAGGAAGTAGCAATAGGAACATATATAGCTTGGCTGCTTGTATTTCATAAATAACACATGTAAATTTAATTTCCCAAGTGTTTGTGACTGCTCTCTTTAAACCATATAAATCTTGCTGTCAAAAATCTATACTGGATTTAAAGTACTTCCTTCTGTTGAGTAGAGGAACTATAGATGTATTTATTTATATGTATGTTAAAAAAAATGAGACTATGATAGGTCATTTGGGGAAAAAACTTCTTAAAATAAAAATATTTTAAAAGTGAATTTAAATAGGGTTAGAATATTTTACGAGCACTAGAGGATGCCTCTGATCTGTTGTGGGACATCTAGAAATCCTCCGAATCCAGGGAAAATGTTACCATATGTCCTAATGTATTAGGATTGAGATGCTTAAACAACGCAGAATCAAAACAGTGACCCGAGCTTCTCCTGGCCTGTGTCTTTATAGCAAATGACAACAGAAGATGTGATTGGGTGGGTTATTGCCCTTGTTCAGTATAATCTATTTATTGTTCAGGAGATCTCCTTTGCTTTGATACTTATTTTCTACTTGTTATTTTTCTTAATTATAAGCGTAACATATTTTAAAACTGCCTTTCACATTTCATTGGCAGTTTATGAGCTGGCCAAGTGTCCAAAGATGTCTAAACGCTCATGGATCCTTGGTACTTAGCAATACTTAGGTTTTTATTTGCTTTTAATGTGTTTAAAGGATAGGAAAAAAATCACTCTTGGTGGCTATTATGGAATGGATATTTTGATTAGCCTTCTATTGATAAATAATAAGGAAAACAAAAAGTATATAACCAGGGCTCTTACTGACTCAAGCAATTTGTTGCTCCTCCCCCCCAAATGGTGACACATGTCTTAGTCAACGTTTTCATAAGACAGTGAAAACTAATATTTAATGTTCGCATTTCTAAGTAAAAGAAGTGGGCATTGTGTACAGTTCTCAATCCACATGGGAATGCTCTAAGTTTGAGCATGCTTATGTTGCTCTGCTCAAATCATCCCAGCTGATTTTGGGACTTCAGTATTCAGAAAATCTGTGTTCTCCTTTGATCTCTACTCACAGGTGTTTAAGCATCTCAGTACTGTTGTTACTCAGTACTTTTAAATTTTATGATAATGCAAAATTTAAGTAACATTATGAAAGAATGTATGACCTAGCTAGTTTTACCTGCATCTGCCTCAAAATATTAGTCATTTTATAATACTTGAACAGCTGCTTAGTGACGTATCGTGTTTAAATCTAAAGTGGAATGATTTGAGAATTTACAGAATACAGATTTTTAAGTCTTACTGAACTTGGAGATTGAGCTAGTTGAGAGGTTGTGTTCTCACATTGCCCAGGTCATTTAGGATGGTAATACACTTGAGGCGAAACTGTTTCTGAAGGCTTGCTTTCTGGGTTTCTGTACCCAAATGATCCCTATGGGTTGAAGCAGATAAAACACAAGAAATCTTGGTGAAGTTGAAAGCTAAAAATGGGTCAACGAGTCTCTGCTTGGCATAGATCCACTTGCTGGGAAATAGCTCCTGCAGTGTAGACTTGCCGAGCAGTCATCCTAGAAAGAGATGCCTGAATGGTAATTTACATTAATTTTTGGTCGTCTTTAAGAGAATCAGGATGT